CTTATCTCACAAAAATAATTTAAAATCTTATGAAATTTAAAAGTTATTAAAATTTTAATTTTTTTTTGGCGGGTTTGATTGACACATCCTTGCACTTCACAAATTTTAATTTTACTCTTAATACTTAGGAAAAGTGGCAATCTTGTTGTGTATAAATGAAAAATATTAATACTATAATCCAGAAAATTCAGAGTAGACATGTTCGAAAGCAATACAAACGCACAATATATTCTCAGTCCGTGCAGTTTTGGTGAGCAGACTTCGACAATTGAACGCACCCGGTGAACCGTAAACAGTCAACAATAACAGAGCTCTTGCCCTGTTTACAAAAACTGTGTACATAACACGAGTGTGATCGATTTGCACACAACACTTAGCTCGGAATGACGATACTTTTGAAGGAGTTTTGCTTTCTAACATTTCTACCTTGAATAAAATTATTTTTCTGGATTAAAGTTTTAATATTTCTCAATTTCACACAACAATTAAGATTGCCACTTGTCCGAAGGATTAAGAATTAAGTTAAAATTTGTGAAAGTGCAAGGATGTGTCAATCAAACCCGCCAAAAATTTTGAAGTTTTAATATCAATTCTCTATAAAAATCAAAATTTTAAATAGGGTCGTGGACATGACATGTCTCCGATTTAGCTGAAATTCACACCATTTACTACAATTGGCATATCTTTAATAAATATGATGTTAAAGTCTAACTTTTCAATTTGGTTGCCATGGTAACAAGGATGTTATATTTAGAACCCTCCGATTAAGCAAATTTTGCTCTGCTTTAAATTAAATTAGACTAAGTGCACATTCATTAAATTAGTGTAAATTCACATGAAAATTGTATTCTCTGAGCTCATATTACTTAAATCTGAGAAATAAATTTCATTCAAGATATTTGAATGAAGATTAAGCGAATTTTAATCGCAACATTAAGGCTGTTAGCAAATTGGCAATTTGCCAAATTTGTCTTTTTTAGTCATATTCAATGAAATTTTTCACCATTTTGAGAACTGATATATTTGTAACCATGTACCATTAAATAAACTATATATTCTAAGGTTTTATGAGAATAAAAAAAAATATTGCGTAAATAAAAAACTTTCTAGAAATTACTGCATGAAAATTGGCATTTTGCCAAAATTGACTTTTTTAGTCATATTCAATGAAATTTTTCACCATTTTAACAACTGATATATTTGTAACAATGTACCATTAAATAAACTATATATTCTAAGGTTTTAAGAGAATAAAAAAAATTAATGGGTAAATCAAAAACTTTCTAGAAATTATTGCATGAAAATTGGCAATTTGCCAAAATTGACTTTTTTAATCATATTCAATGAAATTTTTCACCATTTTGACAACTGATATATTTGAAACCATGTATCATTAAATAAACTATATATTCTAAGGTTTTGTGAGAATAAAAAAAAAATTATGGGTAAATGTACAGCTTTCTAGAAATTATTGCATGACAACTTCCCCCCCCCCCCCCCAATAATCACAAATAACAGAGAAGATCATCTAAGAACATGTTTTACCAAAGTGAACAAATTGTTATATAATATGAATATATATGTCAAGTATTTTAATTTATTTTCAATAATTAAATAGAACTTCTGCAATTAACTCAGTGACAGGTAAATTTATGTGTTGACAGGGAAACAAATCAGGTTTCTAGTTATTTTAATCTAAACATGAAATAAAACTAGCGAGTTTCCAACTATTCTTACAAATCTTTTATTGGCCAGTAATTGTGTCCAATCCTTTTGATTTATTCACTAAAATATATTCAAATTCAAAACAAATATTGTCTGGTTATTTTTTTTAAATGTATAATTTAAGTAAAGAGGCAAACTCAAACTTAATAGATGATATGACAGTATCTTATGAAAATATGAAAGTAATTCAGACAATATAATGTCAAAACAAGTTGGCAAGACCATCTTGATTATAATGTTTGTTTGCCCTCTCCCAACTCTAGAATAACTAGAAATATGTCCATAGGACATGAATGCCCCACCGAGGATGTTTAAGTAAAGCAAAATGAAAATTTGTATGTGTATAAAATTTGATCAGAATATCTTGAATAGTGATGCAGCTGAATTGCTTGTTTGGAAAATATAGGTCAGATTCAGCATCCAAAGCAAGTCTGGTAGTGTCCATCCCTAGATGCATCATCCATGCAAGTTTGGTTCGGGTAGGACTTATAGTTACTTCGGAATGAAAATAAAGGTCAGATCCAGCATCCGAAGCAAGTCTGGTAATGTCCATCCCTAGATGCATCATCCATGCAAGTTTGGTTCAGGTAGGGCTTATAGTTACTTGGGAATGAAAATTTGGTTCAGGTAGGGCTTATAGTTACTTGGGAATGAAAATATAGGTCAGATCCAGCATCCAAAGCAAGTCTGGTAGTGTCCATCCCTAGATACATCATCCATGCAAGTTTGGTCCAAGTAGGGCCTATAATTCCTTAGGAATGGACCTGCTCCAAAAACTTAAATCTGGTCACTCATCTGGAAAATGTAGGTCAGATCCAGCATCCGAAGCAAGTCTGGTAGTGTTCATCCCGAGATGCATCATCCATGCAAGTTTGTATCAACATGTGAAGTTTGATAAATCCATCTTGAATGGTATGTTTAAAACTGAGCTAAACACTAATTTAACAAAAGTGAGGTCAAGGTCAAATGAAAGGTCAAGGTCAAAAAATGTTGATGCAGTTGCATAGCTCCCATCAATATCTATCAGCATATGAAGTTTGATGAAAATATCTTGGATGGTTTCTTTGAAAGTTAGCTTTGAGCAGAGCTAAATGCAAAGTGTGACGGAAGGACAGAAGGACGGAAGGACGGAAGACGGACATGACAAACACTATATGCCCCGGTCATATTCATGGCGGGGCATAAAAAGAATGAATCTTGTTCTCAGTTTTGTTAAAATATATTCATATTCTAATCATACATGACATCAATTTAGAATACACATATTCTCTAAGGAAAACAGATGCTCTGCTTAAAAAAAATTCTGCTAAAATTTGTTCCTTCATATTCTCTCATTTGATGTCAGCTTGGTTTCCTCGAATTCACATTTCTTTACGTCCTTTTTTATTCCCCATTTTCAAAAGGTGAGTTATTTCCCCTGAAGGGAACTCTTTTACTGTGTTTAATACGCATGCGCTATAAATAAAGTCACTTCCGCGGACGTTCTTGATGTAAACATGTTCATGGTGTAATGCCTCTGTCATATGGAAAAATGTTATTGTGTTTGTGAATAAAAAGAAATCTCAACTCATTCGTATTTTTTTTTAATTGCCCACGCATAGTCTCTTTCTGGATTTGTATTAATCTGTATAGTACTATAATAAGGTGCTGTGTGGCCCCCCCCCCCCCCCTTACAAAAAAAAAAAAAAAAATCGAAACAAATTACTGATAAAATGCTGATACATATTCCAATAGGCCTATTTTTTTTTTAAAAAACAAAAGCTAATTTTCGGTAGTGGATGTTCTGCAGACAGATCATCATTATTTACAAAATGTGCGGAACAAATTTTTAGTTATAAAGTTTTTAAGAATTAATCTAGCCTGCTGCAGCCATATTTTCTTTGTATCTCTAGGAATTTTTTGGAGACTGATGACATGTCCATCTACAGTATTACCTCTGACATTGCTGCATATACAGCTGTAGTTCGTCTTCCGCGACCGATACCAAGAAACTGCGTTTTTGCTCGATTTTATGTCATAATATAGAACTTTTACATGTACTTACAAGAACACATTTGGTGACAATTAAAGGCCTATTTCATTTGAATTAACCGTGTTTCTAGAATTTTTTATTAGTAAAATAATTGATTCATTGTATAGTATTAAAACTTTGAATGGAATTCTAAATGAATAATTTAATCTCATGTGCTCATGGAACGAAGAAAGACTAATTAAAATAGCATCGACCTGAATTCGTGTTACATATGTCGTATAAAGTCTAAGCTGCATTTAATCAAAGTTTTAGTGTAGGATCTAAGCATATGTACATGTATATTCCCGAGTAAAATACACATTTTGTTTTAGATCAGAGAATTGAGAGCAGAAACACGAAATTGATACAATAATTTCCTAGCGTATTTCTCGTTAATTAACAGAAAACATTCTTTTCTCAAGTGTTATTTATTTTTTTAAAGTGTGTAAAAGAGAGAGAGAGAGAGAGAGAGAGACCCCGTGTAACTGACATACATGTACATCTGTGAAGAAATATATGTACAGTGATTTTATTGAATTCACAATTAATAATTCTAATAATTTTTAATTTTCACAACTATGGTTCATATTCAACTGTTCAACCCATTTGCATATTCGTTCTCTTACCTTTACGCACGGGGGGGGGGGGGGGGGGGGGGGGAGTCAAGGGGCTTAGCCCCAGCCCCACTTTTTCCCAATATTACATTTTCTATTGAAAATTTTCATTGATAGACAGGTTACCACCCCCCCCCCCCACACACACACACACACAGTTTATACTACGGTAAAGTTATATAAGGGAAATGTAGTATTGTATGCCAAGGAACTGGTACTGAAATAAGTAGCTTTTTCAACTTTGGGCAAGGTTTTTCTTCGCTTGTCAACTTTTCCAGGTAAGAAAAAAATATTTCTTTGGCTACCCCCCCCCTTTTTAAAGACGATGCTACATGCCTGGCTAATTCGTATAGCTTTCTAGAAAGGGGGGGGGGGGCTAACAGACCCTTTATAAAATAATTTATTATCTAAAAAAGATGCAAACCATTTCCTTCTTTTAAAATTTTTAAATACAGCGTGTAAGTTGATCACTATTTTGTTGAATTATCGTATTGCGTAGTCCGCGGAAGTTAGGCTAGTGTAGAAGAGTTCCGATTTTGAGGGGAGATAACTCACTTTTGAAAATGGGGAATAAGTTGGAAAAAAAAACCCCTCTCTATATCCATCTTGCACCAGTGACAACTTTTACGGGATCTTCTTTTCTTTCTGTTCTTTTTTCTACTTTGTATTTTTCATGTAAAAATTACTTCCAGTCCACTGTGAATTATCTTTTGCTTGGAGGGGGGGGGTGTATGTCCTCTGCTGTGGTCATTTCTATCTGTTCAGGTGAAAATAAAAAAAAATTATTTTTTGGTCAGTTTGTATAAAAATTCATTAAGATTATTTGAAAAACTTAAAACTGGAATCTTAAAATTTTGCTATATATAAAACATATACATTTTCAACCTGTAAACATTATTATCTCCCTTTATGCATTGTCATGACAATCATGTTTTAAGTCACCATAGATCCATGTAACTTAATACACAATACATGTACCTGTCTGATCTCCTTGCTAGAGGATCTGTAATCCTGAGAATCTTCATTAGGAAAATCTTGCAAGGGCTGCAATGATCAATTTAAATTATTTTTTAATTTGAAAGTTTGGGTTAAAATCCTAAACATTATATATATATTACATGTACCTGATATTTAAATGTTATCCTGAAAGTTTTCTGAATCATGAGGAATGATTGATAAAGAAGGGGGTTCATTGTTGTCATCAAGCATTTTTTTTTTCAATTTACATATAAAGCTTTTCTGCAGTTTGGACAAATCGCCAGAGATCCAGTGTAGAAATGAATTTGACAACAATTGATTTTTAAAGTGGTAAATGAAATGTTATTATATCATGAATTAATTGTTATAAAAAAAATACATGTTTTATGGATACTACAAGTAATGTGGTATAATTTATTTTGTTCTTTAATGTGACTATTTTTAATTTGTTCAATATGTCCTTGACATGTGAAATACACAGCATCAGAATGATCGCATATGCACAGATCAATACTGTAAAACTAAAACTATTCATAAATGTGCAAGATTGATATGCCTGCAATATATAGCTGAAAAACAGAGATCAGTAAAATAAAATTATGAGACAGAAAGCTGCATCTTAGAAAAGTCATTTATAAGAACTTCAAGTACAAGTGGAGTTGTCACATTCTAACACCCTTTAATAGATTTCTTTACCTATTTTACAATACATTACCTTGCAGAGCAAATAAATTCATTGTATCAAGGTCCCAAAAATGATTTCACATAGTATAACAAAGTATATGTACTTAGATCTAGGACACTATTAGCAGCTGTAAATCTGTGTGTCTGCATGTACTGAGTTAATTTTCATAATTTTACACTTACACTTTTTAATCAATTCTTTCAAATATTCTACAGTCCTGATATTGCTTAAAATTTCAAAAAAAATAACACACTATTCAGTTATCATTGTCAAAAGTCAAAGTTTTACTATTTCCGTCGTATGATTTCTACAATTCCTGTTTGTTAAAATAGAATGGACAAAAACATATTATCACTTGGAAAAATAAATTTATACAAACAATTTTCTTAAAATATACTGAATTCTATAGAAAATAAAATACTGGTACCTAAAACGGGCACATATATTTCACAGTAGTATATGATTCAATGTCATGTACATGTAATATGTGCAACTGTGCATCCAAGTTTTCATGGTTTTGTTCGTTTTTATTGTCTTATATTTCAATATACAGTCAGTTACCAGGTACATGTGACACCTGAATAGAATTATAAATGAAAATACTTACACATTGCAATGGGGATCGGTCGGGGACTACCACACCACTTCAAGTATCTCTCGATCTCTATTTCAAAGACATCTTGAAGGGAACAGTTAAAATCCTCTCGGCCTTCGCCCCATACCACCCTGATTTCCTCATATTTTCCTTTCAGTACAAATAGCTATGTATACGTGTAATACTCATCATGTCCAGATCAACCCTTTGGCTTTTCTTAAAGATTATCCCTACTTTGTTAATTGTTTTTAATCAAGTTCTGAGTCTCTTGAGGTAGAATTTTCCTGAACAAGATGTTTCAAAACAAGAGGGAAGAATGCAGATTTTATTGTCTGCCATCTTGTTTACATTTTACACATTTTGTATTCTTCAATGCCGAAGAGCTCCAACAAGGGAAATAACTCGGCCAGAGAAAAAGCACATTTAGAACAACTTTATAGTGTAATAAAATGTTTATTTTTCATTTACCCATAAATGTTTTAAATGGTATTTGCAAAATAACATTTCTTAAATCTAAATCTCCCTACTAGGATTTTCACATCACTTGTCAAAGTCTTTAAATATTAAGTCTAACAAGGGAGGTAACGAGGACTAATTTTTCACTTTTTTGGCATCAGAAAATTAGAAATTGTAAAAACTTTGTGACATATACTATTTTTTACATAGTTTTGATTGTCATGAAGCATATAAAAAATATGCATGTTAACAGCTTTGCCTAGTAATTTTTTTTGTTGTTGATATAATTGATAAATAGCAAAATCCACTATAATTTACACCTTCTAGCCCCGTTTCCACGGCAACCGGGTAAACTACCTTGCTTTCTTTCATATAGTCAATCCCTTCATTCATTGAAGTTTCAATAAGAAAAAAATTAGCCGAATCCAAGACATCGCGTGGCCACGTCATTTTGATTTTTATAGAGAATTGATATTAATAACTTTTGATAGAAATAAGATTTTAAATAAATTTTTGTGTGAAATGCTATTGAAATATATAAATCGTGATATTATACAGTTTTTCTGTTAAAATATGTACTTCAAATCTGTGTCCAAGTACCTTTGAATACAGTTTTTTCAGTATAACTAAAATCAGAGTCAGAAATACGATACATTTAGATATATTTATGTCCCTAAAAGCCCTAATGTTGGTCTCATCATTTAGTTCCAATTATTTTAACAGCGTGGTTCCCATGTTGGTTACATGTATATATTTGAATAAATTTTATGATCTTTTTTTTTAAACGTAGTCATAAAAATTATGTTTTGTTTTATTTAAGGAATGAATTTAATAGCTACCCAATTTATACGGTATAAACTGGGTTGGGGCAGTTTACGCTTTATAAACCGCGAAGCGGTTTATAAAAAAGCGTAAACTGTTCCAACCCAGTTTATACTGTATAAATTGGGTAGCTATTAAATTCATTGCTTATAATTTAATTTTCATTCATTTGATGTAAGAAAAAAAGATGATTGTTCTAATAATGACTTAAATTTGTACAAAATTTGAATGTAACGACAGGCGGATTGATACGTTTTTAATTGTGACGTAGGCAACCCATTTTATACGATATCAAGTAAATATTTTATCCAATCAAATACAGCGTTACAACCAGAATTAAATTATTACATATTGTTTTTTACATTTTGCGTTGTCTTCAGTGCAAAAATAAAATAACGCAAAATGTAACAACGTTATCACATTTTGCGTTGATCTCGATGCAAAATGTAATAACGCAAAATGTAATAATCTAAAAATCGTGTTATTACATTTTGCGTTGTTACATTTTGCGTTGATCTCGACGCAAAATGTAAAACGCAAAATGTTATAATCCAGGTTTATAATAATTACATTTTGCGTTGTTATTACATTTCGCGTTGTAACAACGCTGAGTTAAAATGTATGTGCAGATCAAGTAGGGCCTCGTTAATGGAAATATCGTATTTTTTTTTATATCTATAGGGAATACCTTCATTTTTTTTTGTATTTGAATAGAAATGTTCTTTTCAGAAATTCAAAAATACAATATCAATAAGTGAATTAAAAAGCCCATATAAAACTGACTCTTTTATTTTAATAGTAATCTCAGGTCAAAGTCATCATCATTCTTTTTAATTGAAGAATAAAGCAAGATGTGTTTGTGAAACAAATGCAAGTCTAACTCTTCGAATAAATATTTGAAATATGTAAGCTAAAGTACTAAACTTTTCCAAGTTCTAACCAAGGTTAAAGTGTTGTAAAAGTGGATTGAACTTAAAGGGCAAAGGATCAACTTTCATATAAGGACCTTGTTAAAAGAAATATTAAAGTGAATTATAAAAGGCCTTAGCACCCACTGTTCAAAAGGTATTGTGAATCTTATTTTAAAAAAAAATAGGTCGAACTCAAATGTCAGGGTCAAGATGTCAAAATTGTCAGTATGTAAAAAAAAAAAGTCTTCTCATAAGAAATATACATGTGATGTATGAAAGCGCTACCAATAACTTTTTAAAAAATAAAGAAAAACCCAAGGATAATATTTTGTAAGGCCCATAAACCCTCTGCTCAGCCATATAAAATGTTGCTGATTTTCCAAAATAAATGTTTTTTTAATAAGTGAAAAACTATAAAAAAAAAAATGAACTCTTTTGGTGTTGAATATGGTTTGTAATTCACCAGAAAAATATTCATATTGACCGAGGCGAAGCCGAGGTCAATATTGATATTTTTCTGGAGAATAACAAACCATATTTAACACCAAAAGAGTCCATAATTGCTTTATTATATAGTCAGGATTTGAATAAATACATGTAAGACATTGACCGCTTTATGACGACAACATTTTCATTTGCGATCTTCCATGGTTGAAAATAAAAAAAATATCCTTATTACTGTTTGTAACCTCCGTGTTTTCCTTTCCAAGTTTCGCTATGTGTAAGACGTCCAATGTGAAAAAAATAATTCTGAAATAGAGTTAAATAATTGTTTTCATGCTCAAATACGTAGCTCGCTGCAGCCGTTGCAACCATTGTTTACAACGTTGTTTGATATTATGATTGTGACGTCACAATGCCGTTGCACGCGCATTGACCCTCCGGTGAATACGGCCTAAAATCCGGTGCATATTATACAATTATAGACTCGTTTGGTGTTGAATATGGTTTGTTATTCACCAGAAAAATATCCATATTGACCTCGGCGAAATATGGTTTGTTATTCACCAGAGAAATATTCATATTACCGAGGCGAAGCCGAGGTCAATATGGATATTTTTCTGGTGAATAACAAACCATATTCAACACCAAAAGAGTCCATAATTGTTTTATTATATAGTCGGGATTTCAATAGATAAGACATTGAAGGCTGTATGACGACACCAATTTTCATTTGCGATCTTCAATTGTTGAAAATAAAAAAAAATCCCCAGATTACTGTTTGTAACCTCCGTGTTTTCCTTTCCGAGTTTTGCTATGTGTAAAACGTTCAGATGTTCTAAAATAATCCTGAAATAGGTTTGAATAAGTGTTTTCCTGCTCAGATACATGTACGTAGCTCGCTGCGGTCGTTGCAACCATGTTTACAACGTTGTACGATGTTTTGATTGTGACGTCACGATGCCATAGCACGCGCAATGACGCTCCGGTGAATACGGCCTAAAATCCGGTGAATATGTAGTGTTATGAAATGTTTGTGTTTGTATAGATTATATAGGGACTATAAATAGACTATATAATAAAAACATTTATAGCATAGCTTTGCGGGCAAAAAAGACACTTCAACTTGGCAAATCTTTAAACTAAGGAATAATAGACATTTATGTCATTAAGACTTGTCTCTCTTACAATGTATCAAAGTTTCAAGGAACCTTAAAAGTGGGTTAACATTTAACACTAATGTCTAGATCAAAGGACAAAAACATATTTTTACTCTTTAAGGGATCATGTCTAGATGAAAGCATATGATAAGTAAAAAGTGTTCAAGCTTAAACTGTTCAACAAAATTAATATGGCTAAGTTTAAAGTTTGGTAATTTCTTTTTAAAAATAGGTTAAACCCTAGGGTCAAGTTAAAAAAATGAGAAAGAGTGTGTGTGTGTGTTTCTGATAGTGTACTAGACGAAGTTAAAGCACATAAGTAAACATGCCTTAACTTTAACTATTCAACAGATGAGGCAAAGTTTAAAAATTTTTAAAAGTTTTTTAAAGTTAATTTTTGTAGTTACGAAGATACTTGTTGATAGCAATGTATTCTTCGTTTTGCTCTTAATATATAAGTGAAGCGTAAAAAAGTATTGATTCAAAATTTGAAACAATATTTTGCTATTGATAAGAAGCAAAAACATCAAAAGTTATTTTTTAAAAATGCATTATGATGAAAAAGTTTGACTTGAATTTATTTCTTTTCGGAAACTCACAATTCTGAAAAATAAATAAACTGGTTTAGAAATTTAAGCATAATCTGAAAGTAAATCTCTAATGTGAAAAAAGTTAAACATATATATGTATAGTGTACGTAGATAATGAAAAAAATAAATGTTGAGAGGGGGATCTACGAAAGGCAGGTGATAATGAAACATGCTTTTGCAATTATTCATATGACAAATATTTCTATTTCAGATATCAAAGTAAAGATACCAAAATGCATATGATCTTGTTTCCTCTTGCGTGGCTATTACTCCAAGGCATCAGTGTTTGCATCCAAGCTAAGCCTTTGATGAATTCCAGTGATACCTTTGAGTTGCTTTCTTACCAGGAACGAATTTGGCCTGATTTTTATCCAAATGTTTCTGCTTTTTGCAAACTTGAAATAATTCCAAAGGAATATGAGGACATAAAACTCCAAATACTAAAAATAATGAGTAGCAGTGATATAAATTTAGTATATATTCACATTGAAATAAGAGATAAGTCATACGTAAGTTTGAAAGCTAATATAGAATTAAAAGACAGAATTACAGAGTGGCAATATGTGAATAAAAACGAAAAATTTCTCGTGCAATTACCGGTGGATGTAGACTTAGTAACATTTAATATTCTTCAAAACATTGGAGATGAAAATATGTTTACAATTCCAATGAGAGCAGAAAATACGAATTGTACGTATACAGAAAGAACGACAGAGTCCTTAAAGTACACATTGTGGGGTCAAGTTCTGGGTAATTTCTCT